GTATTTATAGCTGCCAGGCTGCAGATGCAGGGTGAGGGTGGCAACAATTAACTACCCATATCAGTATCTATTTAGCCCTGCAGGATTACATCAGTACACACTGTCAAAGCAGTGACAGACACACTAAAAAGGGGACAGCTGTGTTTCCATGCTGCAGGTGAGACAGGTGTGTGCCGTGTAGCTGCTAATTAGACCGCCTTTTCCTATTCAGTCAGTGGAAGCAGCACAAGATCGATGGGCTAAAAGTGGCTCTTTGATCCTGGATAGAGGGGTGCGGGGAGTCCTGAAATCAGCCTCAGGGGACCACACACAGCTTTAGGGACCCCGTCAGCACCAGATTCTCATCTCCACCCTCGTGTCTTGTAACAGCGTTAAAGAGCAGCGCTCCACATGTCAGCTGCTTTATCTACTGCAAATGTGACGGTCTTTAGAAGTAGAAACCTTGCAGAAGTGGTTCTCCTGCCTTGCTACTGGTGTGATATTGAAGCATTGTGTCTGATGAGGAGAAATGAGATGACAAAGGTGTTTTTTTAATTCAAAAATTCAGTATGAAGAAAAGAACAGCAAAACCAAAAGAACATTGATACAGAAGGCATTTACAACAGCAGTTTTTTGGTTTCGTGGAGAAATGAAAGATACAGAGACGACATGTTTGATGCTTACAGACACAAAGGTTGGGAACAACAGCTAAGGCACAGAGGTCCCCTCCGACTGAAGAGTTTAAATAAATTGTGTAACAGTTGCTCAACAAAACATTCCAGCACAGAGAACGGCAATCTGGCATACGATTCTCTGAAAGGCAAAAATGTTCATTAAGAGCCCAAACCACAAACTCAGACTTGAAAAGCCCTTCACAAACCCTTCACATGAAAATTTTGAGTCTACATTGCCACTAAACACACCAAAACCTGACCCACTTCTTTTTAAAAACAAGGTTATTTACAATACTTTTTGAACGTCAGTCCAATACAAAATACTTTACATTGTCATTCCTACCAAAATAGCTATAGTACAGAAGAGATGTCTGAGTGATGTGGAACTAAATATAATTTTTATGTAAATGTTAGATTAGATATTTCTGTGAAGGTAATGTGAAAGAAAGAGGTATGTTGCTGTATTTGTGAGGTTAGATTCGCCCACTGCAGACATCTTAAAAGGTACAAATATTAAACTTCTGTCATCATTTATGAAGAAATTTGATATTTTTTTGCCTATACAATGAAAGTCAGTTGTTTTGAAGCCCACTGACTTTAATTGCATTGACAAATGCAATTAACATTTTTCACAAAAATCATCTTTTGTGTCCCACAGGAGTTGGAACGACATGAGGGTGAGTAAATCATGACAGAGTTTTCAGTTTTGGCTGAACTATCCCTTTAAAGGTGAAGTGTGCAATTTGTGTAGCAACAAACGGAACTGCAAATATTATTAGATGTGTTTGACTTCATGCAGTGCTGCCAGTTAGAAAATATGTACTTTGACATATGCCAATGAAAACGTTCATGTTACCTTAATGTTATATTGTGCCATGTTTATCAAAATAAAACTGATAAAAAATATAGTACCCACTTTACTGTTTTAATAGTATAGGCTTATGTTGAACTTTTTTCTTGTGCACAGGCCCTGTATTAAGCAGTACATAAAGTATTGAATGAAAAGCATTTCTGTTTCTGCATGAAATGTCTAATGTCTGTATTTGAAAATATTGCATCTAATCCACTTCATCTGTAATAAAGTACACAAACAGAGCAAGCAACACTACAGGAAGCAGAAAGTGACTGACTTGACATCTTTGTTTTAACGCATTCCGTGACTACAAGCGGCAAATCTGTTAAAACCAGGTGAAGTCGAACACGTACTGTCTTAGACCACGCCCCATCTCTCTCCATTCATAAACAAGTAGCTCCGCCCCTAAACTCACACCACTGGTTAAGCCGGACTGCTCAAAAAACAAAACAAAAGTGTTTGCACTCATTGGGAGGAATCTGCACACAAAACTGTGATAGGAGATTATTTGAACATGACACACTTCACCTTGAAATGGTTCTTAACATTAATATTTAACTATCCAGTGGTAAATCCTCACTTACAGACAAGATTGTAACTCAGAAGTCAATGAGATGTATGTGAATAGATAATTTCATATATTTTCTCTTTTAAGAATATCAAATAATTTGCACTTTCACACATACAGTACGGATGTAACACCACTGAGACAAGCATTAGACGCTCTATTAAAAAATGTAAATAACAATGCATTCCCATTTCGCACCAGCTGGGAACATATGAATGACAAGAGTGCTTTATTGAAAATTTAGGGTCGCATCCTCCTTTGGATCACATGACAGCAATGACATTTCATTGTTTGCGCACCCCGGGCAGGACGCCACATCTCTGAGGACCAGATAACAATCAGATTGCATACAAAGTGATGTCTAGGCCAGGGTCACAGAGTCCCAGAGGAGACGTGCTCCTCATATGAGCGAGTGCAACAAGCCACACTAGCCCAGTTTAAATATGGTGTCGTACATTTGCAATGTAGAAACATAAAAGGTTTGTAAAAATTGAGAAAATGTTGGTCCAAATGCAAACTGTAGAGTCCAGCAAGCTTGCAATCTTCCTCACTAAAAATACATCTCAGTCAGATCTGAGAGGCCACCCTATCATTATTATGGATGTGAATAATCCGGACGGCCCAATTTGGAAAATGTGACATCCGTACAAACGGCGTACGTGCAGAAAAAAGCGGCTGAGGAGACTGAGCACAGGAACTTTAGGAACCATGTTAAAATTGCATGGATGCTACCAACCAGTCCAGCCGATGTCCGTTTTTGTTCGTTTGAGCAATATATGACGAAAGTACCAAACACTGGCTCGTATAAAAACACTAGAATAAAGAAAAGACAAGCAGCATGACTGGAATCTCAGTTCTTGAGGTCATTTAAGGTCATTCATCCAGTTAGTTTTCCGATGAGCTCAATGTCTATGAAATGAACAGATGGACCTCAGGTGGAGGGGCAGAAAGGTCTTTACTAACGCCCATACTAGTACCGCATCTTGTGTTTATAGTTGTAATATGGTTGGGATGATAGCCTTTGTAAATAAAGGCAGCTTGTTTACAAAAGGTATTGAATGAGCTGCAAAAACAGCATATAGACATTAGTCATTGACTAAAAAATATCTATTTCATTTATGTAAACACATGAATAAATAGCCAACTTACAATCCAACTTAGCAACCCAGTACCTCTGTTCAGGGGAAAGGAAAAAAGATAAAAAAATAAAAAGGCAAAGAATTTACTTTTTTTTTTTTTGCTGTGCCAGCACAGCTGGCACCTTCCATTTCCAGTTTCGACAGCCTGAAGGGTACAGCATTCAGACAGAACGACACTTCAGACAGTCTCTGACTCCAGAGCACAAGATACTCTAGACCAGGGGTAGGCAAGTTCGGTCCTAGAGAGCCGCAGTCCAGCTCCAACCCTAATCAAACACACCTGAACAAGCTAATCAATGTCTTCAGGATTACTAAGGCTATAGGCAGGTGAGTTTTTTTTTCAGGGTTGGAGCTGAACTCTGCAGGACTCTCGCTTAAAGAATTGTGGCTCCATATCGTGCAAGTTTTGACCTCTCCTCAGAATCCTATCCCCCTTGGACCCTAAAGCTAACTAACTGACTAAAATAACTTTATTGAGTACTCTATTTGATGCCTGATTATAAACAATTTTGTTATGTCTTTACACTTTTACATTACTGTTCAAAAAATGAAAAAAAAAAAAAAAAAGCCACAAAAATATTCAGCAGCACAACTGTTTTCAACTGATGATAATCAGAAATGTTTCTTGAGCACAAAATCATCATATTAGAATGATTTCTGAAGGATCATGCGACACTGAAGACTGGAATGACTGCTGAATATTCAGCTTTTTCATCACAGGAATAAATCACATTTTTTAAAATATTACAATATACTTTTTTTTTTAAATTTGCAGTATTTAATAATATTACTGTTTTTACTGTATTTTTGATCAAATAAATTTAGCCTTGGTAAGAATAAGAGACTTCTTTAAAAAATATTACTGACCTCAAAATTTTGAATGGTAGTATATATGACATTATATAACTAAATCTAAAAATGCTCAAATAAGACATTTCCTGTCCTGTTCTCTGTTAGCTTGTAAGCTGTCCGGGCCACTAGCTTTGCATATCTCTACCACTAAATATTTATCCTGCCAGCTTAGCATACTGATAATCGATCAGCCTGCTAGCTTGACACACATGCAACCACCAATTATTTGTTCTTTTTATTAATTGTAGCTACCATTACTACAAAAGTATAACCAAAGAGGCCATTTTGATTATACAGAAGAGTGACACATTTTTGAACAGACTAACTAACTGCTACCTCTTTGCCTCCAAAGGTCATAGAATTCTGTGGAGGCTGGCATCTTGCACGACACTGGATCTCTTTTACTTGTCAAAAGCTTAGTTTTTATTAAAAACAGATGTTTTTCAACCAATAACTTATTAAAACTAAATAGGAGACTTTATTAGGGGAGTCTGAAGGATTTAAATGCCTGTTTGACTGCATTTGATCCAGTGAAAGCCTTATAAAAATGGAAGCATTTAAAAGAAACACAATGTTGTGCAATGGACAGTTATATATACAATTTGAAACACTAGTTTTAATAAGGTATAGGTTGAAAAACACTCCTATCATTTATGTTAGGCGCAAGTGTGTTTGCTTTTAAATATAGAGGTTTAGTATACAAACATCCCTTTTGGTCTTACAACCAGTGTTAAGGTCCATTCTGTGCTTAATATCCCAATCCCAGCATTCATCACCTGCTGCTTCCAGTTGACAAAGATTCAATCACAGTAATCAAAATAAATAAAATATAGAGAAGCCTGACAGCACTCACATCACTAGAGCACTCAAGAGTTTGAGAGGGAACACATTTAAAAAAAAAAATTAAAAAAAAAAACTTCCCAGCGTACACTTTCGAGGCCCTGTGTCTTGCATTTGAAAGAGGGCCGTTTTGCTCATATTCACATGAGCGATGCTGGAAAATAAATAATAAAAACAAAATGGCCTAAGGAATGAAAAAGGCGGGTTCTTCAGGGCAGTGAATGCTGCTACCTGATTCGTCCGTTGGTTTTGGTTGGGCCCAGCTGGGACTTTGGGTCTGGGCTGAGAGAGCTCCACACCGTTTCCCTGCAAGTCTGCATGACCGGACAGCCACTGGGGCCTGTTGAACACATGTCCACAGCTGACCACACCTCGCCCACTAGACTGTCCACCCAGCGCTCAAGCTCGGAGCCCGTAAGCTCTGCGTTGTGTTCGGCCGCTTCGACCTGACCCAGGTGCACCGGGATGTTGAGGATGGGGTTCAGGCCATGGAAACTCTGCTCCATGTAGCTGTTCTTGGCCGGCCCGTTGTGCGTTCTTAAAGCATCCTCTGTGAGGAGAAGAAAAAAAACACACACAAGGACTTAATGCAAGCAAAGCGAAACCAGGATTATGACTGAATTTGCTGGAAAATTTTACATTTTTAGACATGAAAAATAAAGAACAGTCTCCCTGATTTCATTTTTTTGGGAAAATAAGACTTTTTGCATTTTCTTCAGTTATGGGAGCTGTTGCTTGTTGATTTATATTTGCGGAATGAACTTTAAAGCTGATGTTGGTTAACTAAGTTAGGAGAAAGTATGTAACATCCACATTAGCTTTAAGTTTTGTTAGTGCTGAGTTTGTGTGTTGAGCTGGTGGATGGGAGGTTATTGGTCTTGTATTGACGAGATTATTATTTGTGTGGGTAAAAATCTTTACATATAATCCAGTGTTATTTTAGAATTATTTTGAATTAGCTTTCTTCATTTTTTAAATTTAGTTTATGTTTTAGTAATTCTGTTATTTGCTTTCATTATATTTATTAGTTTTTCTTTTAATTAAATATTCCACAAAGACACATTTATTTGAATAAAAGTGACAGTAAAGACATTTATAATGCTACCGAAGATTTCTAAGAAAAATGGTGAAAAAAGAAGACGTGTCTCCAGACACAAGATGCTTTATGCTGTAACAACATTTACGGAGTAGTTTTAGTTTTAATATATTCAGTCTCTTTTTGAGGGCATGAAAAAAAAAACTGTACAGCTGGGATTTTACAAAATCTCTATCAAAATGGCATAAAATATCTATACTTTTAGTTTAAATATTAAACACATCTTCACATATAATCTAGACCACTAGCCTGCATCACATGCTCTAACATCAGACGGCTAAAAACAGCCCATTTAGCTGTAAGGATGGACACGTCGGCCCTGGAGGTAAAGCTGTGAATTCCTGGGGCTCCTCACACTTCTCTCCAGCTGCCCTTCACAGATCACCCTCTGTGTCTTGTCCTGACCCCTCTCTCCAGGTTCGCCCACCTCCTTTCCAGAACATGCCATTTCACGCTCATAGGAAGTGCATGGATAGGCTAGTGTCGTTGCTTACAGCGTGCTGCCCGACCTGGGCCGCATAAACACACTCCATAAACTTTTATTAGAAGGTGGGTGCAGAGGCACGGTGTGCAAAAGGACTCGGTGCCTGCCGTAGACATTAATCATACGACAGTCTGGTAAATCACGTGTGTTTATCACCTGCCCACCGAAACGCAATCACAAGCTCTCCCTCATTAGGAGCGTTTTGAGGACAGATCTGCTGATGACCGCACACCACACTTATTTCGAAATGTCCCTAATGGGCTAGAGATACCAATCGCGGCCCCTGCACAGTAGTCTTTTGGAGTTTATTCCAATGAAAGGTGACCCGGCTTGGTGTATTACTCATTCGTGACTGTGAGCTGGGGCTATATATAGGCAACCAAGCGGCCCAGGCACAGAGCTAGACGTGAAGGCAGAAAGTGCCTTTGAAAATGGGGGTGGGTGGGATGACCTGAAAGGTTGAGGCAGTTTAATATACAGCGTACCATAGTGTCAGACTATGGTCTTCAAAAAAAAACAAAAAAAAAACCCCCACCCAAAATGCAAGAGGGTTAGTCATTACACCTGGAGGAAGGAGCATTTCTCATTCTGCTTTAAATATATGAGCTTGCAAGATCGCATAAATCAAAGCTTCAAACACAGAGCATTTTCTCCAGTGATATTCTATGCCACGATGGCCAGTTTAGACCACATTTGTTGTTACTATTATATTTTGTTACAGTATGTCATTTTATGTTTTTTTTTTTTTTACATTTTTCTGTTTAGATTTAATTTACATTTTATTTCAGTATTAGTAAATAATATTAGTTCTTCAGCTTCAACTTATTTTATTTCAGCTATTGCCAAGGAAAACTTTCAAATGTAAATCTTTTTTTAAGTTTACATTTTCATCTAATATTTGTTATTATATTTTAGCTTTATTTCATTAGACAAAAAGTATTTTTAATAGATATTAAATAGTTTATTAGTTAATATTAAATGAAATTAAACAGTTATAATATTAAATAGTTAATTTTAGTTAATTTAATAACAATAAGAACACGGTTAGCGTTAAAAAGTTGAATTCATTTTAGGGAACTGTTTTGTTCAAATGATTTGTTTAAATGATTGACTGAATTATTTGAGTCATCACACAGTGTATTTTTGTCTTCCCTTTTTATGAAAAATGTTGTTAAATACATTGTTTATCACTATCTTTTTAATAAGGCAACATAAATTCTATCATGTCTCCCAACTCACATTTTTACCCAACTGAAGATTCTCACTTTGGAATCAGTTCCACTGAATCATCAAAAAGAAGCGGTTCAAGAGAATGATTAGTTCATGAATCATGTCATCTTCAGTCTACAGTGTAACTCTCACCGTGGCGTATAGGCAGGTGTTTGTGGTGGGTAAGGGGAGTGATGAGAAAGCGTGTCTCTGCCACAGGGCTCCAGTGGTGCAGCACACGTACGGTCCACATGCCGGGCCGCAGGGGCAGGTTCAGCGGAGGCCTGTAGTGAGTGAACTCAGCACTGGCGTCGATCAGGATGTCGTAGGTGGCAGCGATGACATTGGTGGGGTCAATCCACACCACAGTCACGGTCACATTAGACCCTTTCCCCCATTTCTGCATTCCTACAGGCTCGTCCATGGGTCCCATCAGATTCCCAAAGTTCCGGAATATCCTTTCCTTAGCATCCCAGTCTGTTCCAATCTGATGATTGAGATAAAACAACAAAGAACAGATAATTAATAAGAAAGTCACGAGCAGCCCAATCTTTTATCCTAACGTACAATCACAGCCCCTTGAGTAAGGCTCAAGTACCCCTTTATTGACACAAACCAATGTTCTCATTCACTCTGGATATCATTTAACATGAAAATTAATGATATTAAAGTCACTTTTAAATAAATGATTCAACAATCACATACACTACTTTTCAAAAGTGTGGGGTCAGTAAATTTTTTTTATAAAAAAAAAAAAACCTCTCTTAAGCTTTCGAAGGCTGCATTCATTTGATGAAAATACAGTAAAAATAGTAATATTATGAAATATGGTTACGGTGTAAAATAGTTGTTTTTATTTGAATATATTTTAAAATGTAATGTATTCCTGTGATTACAAAGCTGAATTTTCAGCATCATTACTCCTGTCTTCAGTGTCACATGATCCTTCAGAAATCATTCTAATATGCTGATTTGCTGCTCAAAAAACATTTATTATTATTATAAATGTAGAAAACAGTTGTGCTGCTTAATATTTTTATGGAAACATGATATATTTTTCCAGGATTCTTTGATGAATATAAAGTTTAAAAGAACAGAATTTACTTAAAATAGAAATCTTTTGTAACATTGTACATTATAATTTAC